AATAGCAGCAGAGAATGCTGCGCACTACATATGGGGCCTGTTCCGGGAATGAAACTTTTTTTCCCGATCTGAGGATAGAAATACTTTGTCTAAATGACTCACACCCCCACAGCTTAACTCGGTAAGACATGCATCTACGCAACGGGCGCGTTATCAGCCCCACAAAACAGGAGACTCCTACAATGTCAGTAAGCAAGATGCCCGGCGGGGCACCGGCCCATCATCGTCATGCTCCTCCGAAACCCACCGTGGAAGAGCGGCCGCACGGGCATAAGGAGGCGCCCCCACAGGTGGTACCTATAACCAATGTTATGCCAGGGGACAGTCCGTACGTCACAGTCCGTGTAGTACGCAGGCAGTACAATGGGGCTTGCTGGTGACCTATAGAGAATGGCTAACTGATGACCTATAAGCGGTTAAGAGATTGAGACGCGCATTGAGCGCTTTAACCTCTCACCAGTCAAATACAAATGCAATTTATTAACAAATTAACATGTATAGACTAGAAATGCCTGCGAATGCCCTAAAATTGGGGCTGCCGACAACGCCGGCACAGGTGCGCGTCACATCCTCACCGGACCAGCACAGCAAGAACGAGAAGAAATGACTTCCATGAAAATATCGTTTTGAGAAGTCGAAACAAAAAGGTCTTTTGAATACATTTGTAGACGTTACGCGACCGATGCGTCGGTAGTAGAGAATATTTCTTTGAATGCCCGAGTTGTGAGCAGTGCAGCATCGTAGATGCTGCGGAGAGCGCAGTGTACTACATTTGGGGGATGCTCCGGGAACTAAAAATTATTTTTTCAGGACCTGAGGGTGTAAATACTTTGCTTTAGTAATTAGCACCTAGATATCTTAGCTGAGTAAAGGATGCACCTACCCAACGGACGCGTAGTCGGCCCTATGCAGCAGGAGACTTCTACGTCAGTAAACAAATTGCCCAGTGGAACACCAATCCAACCTCGACATGCTACTCCGAAACCCACGGTGGCAAAGCGGCCGCACGGGCATAAGGAGACACCCCAGCAGGTGGCACGTATAGCAAAGGTTAACGGCATGCCAGAGGACCGTCCGTACGTCGCGTGGGACGGATTCCACTCTGCGATGGCTGTGATAAAGAATGTTATAGGCGATTCTGCAGAATCGAGCGTAACGTCGCCTACACTCCCTGAAGACGGCAGTACTATGCAGGCCTTTTTAATGCGTACGGAACGACGGTACACCCAGATGGGATTGGAGACCAGTGAGTGGGGGAACACACCTATCGACCATCTTGTGGGTCTGGCTCTAACTGATGGGATGTATCTACAGCGAACTATCGACCTAAGCAACTGGGCGACTGTACAGCGCCGGCTTCTGGAACGGTTCAACAAGACAATGTTGCAGAGTCAACTGCTAACGGAGTTGGGTAAAGTGCGGAGGAATGGAAACCCTAAAAAGTATACGGACCAGTTTGCGGCTGTAGCGGAGCGTGGAGTTGGGATTGCCCCCCACGAACTCGCTGACTTCTACTGCGCTGGGCTACAAACTGACCTCCATCTTCTCATTACAAATAATAGGCTGGTGAAGTATTCCTCCTGGGAACAAGTGGCGACAGCAGCAGCGCGACTCTATGAACCTAAGCAGACCGTGCTATAGCTACGAGAAAGGGCTAGTCGAGCGGTAAGAGCTGCTACTGAGGCAAATGCAACCCATCGGAAGCAGGAAAATGGAACTAGGCCTGGAGGAAACTATGCGAACTGCTACGAGTGTCAGGGTCGTGGATACCCGGCACGAGTTTGTCCCAGCAAAGGGGAACGAACCAAGCGCCCGGGCGAGACCTGCAGGAAGTGTGGAGGTGTTGGACACTATGCTCGTGACTGTCCTACACACGGCTGAGGCCGTGCCGAGCCGGATAGCAAGAGCAGCAGGCAACCTATCCTTCCCAGCACTGAGAAGAGCGAACGGTTAAACCGCGAGGCCTATGACTGGTTGGACACGAGCGTTCTAGGCTGCGTAGCCATGGAAAAGGGATGAGGTGTCTGGTAGCGACAGGACCTAATGCAATTCCAGTCTCCCTAGAGCGGGGGAACCGCCTCCTCAACACGATAGAGGAAATCAAAATGAGCGATGAGGACGTGCAGGGTACTCAGCCGCCTTCGGAAACGCGGTTCGAGTCTGGGGCGGTGCCGATGCGGAGTGAGGAGGCTCCGTGCGAGAAGACAGATAGCAGCGGGAAATCTGCAGAAGCGACAGAAGAAGACTGCAAGCCAGAAGCGATAGAGACTATGCCGCATTGGTGGCGGGAAATTAGTGCGAAGGAATCTTGCAACCAAGGAAGAGCATTGCGTTACGTGGGTGCAACAGCGGTACTTCGCGTTGAGCTTGCAGGAAGTTCATGCGAGGCGCTTTTAGACACAGACGCTTCGACAAGTTTCATTAGCCCTAAAACAGTCGAACGATTGCAGCTGAGGGTGCGGAGACTTCCAGAGGAGCATAGGTTCACTGTAGCTACAGGTGAACAATTACGCATTGATCGAGTTGTGACGGGGTTGACAATCCGGTGTGGACACGCACGCTTTTCCGCGGGCTTCTTTGTGGGACCCGTTCCCTATGATTTAGTTTTGGGTTTGGATTGGCTGATGGAACATAAGGTGGCCTGATATTTTCAGTCCGAGAAGCTCCGGACCTATGTGAACGACCAGTGGTGCGAGTTACCGGTCGTTAGGACGGGTAAAGAGACACTGCAGGGTGACAGTCACATAGTAGCACCTCCAAAGACTTCTGCAGAGCAAGCGTATGACATTTTGGCTAAGCAACTGGCGGATATGTCAGCGGAGGAGGCTGCCATATTCCTACGGCCGCCACCTAAAAGGTATAAATCCCATGCAAAGACTAAGGCGAAGGCACGGATAACGTCGCTTGTTCGCCAAGCGGCGGCCGACGCAAAGAATCTCAGACCGCCGTTGCATGGTTTGCATTTTATCCTGGCTTTGCCCGACGCTGGCTCGTCAGTGGCACTGAGGTTCACGGACGAGTGGCAATGCGCACTTTGCTGCCCGTTGATCGGGAATCGACCCAAAGCCTCCGGTTCTAGCCGTCCTTTGGCTTCTACTGCCTTGACAACAGCGGAGGATGAGAAAGAGTCTCCATGGCCTACGGCCAAACTTGAACATACACTCTTCGATGAGTGGATAAACTCGACAGAGGCACAAGCTATTCCATTCGAGATCACCAATGTGTTGAAAGAGTATCGGGCGGTCTTCCCCGATAACTTACCTAAAAGATTACCGCCGGAGCGCCCTCATGATCACCATATCTTCCTTGTAACTGGAAAACTTCCAGCGAAATCTGCGATTTACCGAATGACCCCAGATCAGATCGCATTCCACTAGCAGGAGATAACTAAATTATCGGACAATGGGTGGATTAGACCAACATATTCGCCTATCCGCTCTCCTACGATAATTGCCGGCAAGCGTGATGATGGCTCCGGGGAGCGGAAGATGCGTATGATAGTTAATTACCAAGCTCTGAATGCACTTTCAGTAGCTCCTGATTTTCCATTACCTCCCATTCAAACCATTCTGGAGTTGCTGGGAGACGCCAAGTATTTTTTCACCTTGGACCTTGAAGCAGGATTCCATTATATACGTATGGCTGAGGAAAACCGCTGGAAGACGGCTTACCGTTCCGTTCTAGGGCTACTTGAATATCGAGTTATGCCCTTTGCCCTTAAGGGTGCTCTAGCTACTTTCCAGGCCAACATTAATGCCTATGTACAGCCTTTATTAGGACAGGATGTTATTGCGTACCTAGATGATGTACT